GTATAGGATTTTTAAGCTTTTGTAATTTTTAATTTGGCTATATATGGTCTTACAGTTCTGGCATAATGCACTTTATAAAAGGAAAAAAAAATTAAGCATTTCCATTGTAATGTGCAAACTATACTTACACCTTATGCAGATTTTTTCAGATGAATTTTGGATCCACACCTGTTCATTTTGTTCTGAAAGACACATTAAAACTGATTTAAAGTAACAGTGCTTGGTGTCTCTTTTTTTAACACAATACACTTCATACAAAAACCTGGTTCCATATTTCATAGATTTAAAAAAAATAATTAGCAGCATTATTGAATGGATGGATATTTTATTTAAATCCATGAATTTTGAGTGTTTGACATTTTTTTACATATTCTATAAACAGTCACACTTTCCCACTTACAAACCGAGCAGGATCCACCTTTACCACTGGGGATTCATGGTTAGTTCTCTTTAGTTAGCTCACCTGAGTGGACAATGGTTTTATGAAGTAAAAAAGCATTTTCTAATTGATGCAGAAATGTTCTTGCTCTACCAGCTGGCTCAGAACAGCTGCCATGAACTTCATATAGTTCTTTGCCTTTCTCACAGGGTGCTGTTGATAAAGTAGATACTGACTCAGATAAATGCCACCTTTAAAACATGAGTGGGCTTCAGACAAGTTAGAGCTTTCAGAAGCCTTTATAGAAATCACTCTTTTTTTCTCATCTGTTTTTAAAAGGAGCCTGGCACAGCAGGTGAGTGAACTGTCCAGTAAATGACAGCAGGTTAATACACAATTAAGGGTAATGTCTGAGAGCATATGAGAACTGCTCTGCTAGTCAACTAGTGTTTCTTCATTTCCTTTGTATCATATATAGATATATAAAAATATTTATGTAAAATGGTCTTTGGTAGCCAAAGCATCTGAAGCAGTTTCATCTAACTGTGTGATGCTGGCAATGCTCGAGGAAAAAAAAAAACAACCAAAAAAACACAGAGGGAGTCTCTCTTTGCTGAAATTACCCACTGGGAAATGGTTTGTTACTGGTCTGTCTGTTTTCTGTCCCCTGGAGATCTGAGTCTTATGATTGGGAGGGAGGAAAGAAGATAGCCTGGTAAAAATGGGAAGGCTGTGATTTGTCTTGCCTTTGAAGAGCTGCAATTAATAGATGACTTTCCTGCCTCTACCCTCTCCTCTTCTACGGGGTTAAGGTCTAGTCCACTCATTCCTTGTGGAAGAGGCCCAGCTTCCTTTACAGTAACATACCCATCAGAGAGCTGGTTTCAAGTGCTGGATGTCTGCAAAAATGATGAGCTGACATCACCCTTTTAACTAGGCATCAGGCAAGACAGAAAAATCAGCTCCAGCCATCTTTAGAAATCCTTGATTGTGGTATAGACACTCTGTTAGGGGAATAGCACGTGGATTTTGTTGGCTACTAATCGAAGTGAGTTTGTTAGAGCTGGTTTTGTTTCTTTATTAGATCTGTGTTGCCAATGAAAAAGAGGATGCCTGAGGCACGGAGACTGCTTGACCATTGCAGTGCTGCATGGGATTCGTGGTTTGAGAGAAGTGGTATTTTACAGCCTGCTCCAGGAAGGTAGGAAATGGTTCTTTCTTTCCCAGATCACAGGTCCATCACAAAGGACCTTCAGTAGAGAACACCTTTTACTCTTGGATGGGGCTGGCTGAACCCTTACATATTGCTCAAATTTAAAGTAAAAAATTATCCATGTGGATTTCGGCCATAGAGTGAGTAATTAAGTGAAGTTGAAATAAGGATTTCAAGATTTTGCCTTTTAATCTCATATATACTTACAGGAAATTAGTTGTTCTAAGATATCTTCATGTGTTATTAATATCTGTACATTTCTGGACTAGTGACTGTGCATTAAATATTTGATCTATGAGACTGTAAGAAAAAAAACAACAAAAAAACAGGAAGGAAGGTCTTCTGTATGCATATACATTTTATAGCTTCCTTTAATGTCGAAAATTTTGGGCAGCAGCTGAGCTGCATTTTTCAGTGGTTGGAAACAGTACAAATTTTAACAATCTACAAAAATGTCTTTGGCAAGGAAATGTCTTTGTCTGGAAAAAAATAGCACTAGTGTATTTGAATGTTTACACAGTCTTGAGATAACGTACCCTTCCTTTGACAGGTATTGCCTTCAAGTACACGCACCGGAGTTTACATTACAGGCTGTAAATAGTGTCCCACACAACAGTGTTAGGTTTCAGGAAGTATCTTTGCAGTGCTTGATAAGTGGCAGAGCACTTCAGACAGTTTAGATGTCTGCTGAAATTCTTAAAATACCCTGGGCAGAAGCACTGGAGACATGTTTACTTAAGGACTGCAGAACACAGCTACATGTGCCCTTACAGCAGAGGTGGCTGTATCCATCTTCATCTTCCTCTATAGGAGACAAAATTGCTAATGCTAACTGGGCCTGATTCTTCAAATGTGTGGAAATGGTGTTTGCTGCTGAGGTTTGTGGAAGCCTGGCTGGCTTGTAAATGGAGATGGTCCCATGCAAGGGGTGCTGGAGTCAATCTTTGGTGAGTCTGGCAAAATTACGAACTTGGTAAATACAGTGTATTACTAGTTGCTATCATAAAAAGGTGTTTCATGGTGATGTTTGCTTTTGAAGAGGAAATTCCCAGTTCCAAAACTATTGTATTTAATGTTTCCACCGAGATTCTTAAAATAATGCATCGCTCTGTCATGAATGGAAACTTGTCCTCTGAGTTGTGAATTCTGAACTGGCTGACAACAAATGTCAAAGACCTTGGTAAGGTGAGGCAACGGAAAGCTCATGAAGCTCAGGAAGAAGTGCAGGGTTCCCCATGTCTCAAAACAGATTGGGAAGCACCTGGCTGAGGAGCAGCTCTTCCAAAAATGACCTGAGGTTTACAGCAGGTGCCAGGGTGAATGTGAGCCAACAGTGCACTTGCATCTTGAATAAAGCAGATGGCCTGCTGGGCTGTACAAGGAGGATGATGGCCAGGAGATGGAGGGAAGGTGTTTCCCATTACTCGTGTTGGTGAGTAGTACTACTGATTTGTACTAAATGTCCATTGACATCCATTGTAATGGCACGTTTTGTATCCTTAGTAAATGGGTGAAGAAGAAAAGAACTGGGGAGATGATGTGACATTCTTGTTTCAAGAATTTGCCTTGCTACAGATAAGACTAGCTATGTTCCCAGTGCACTGTCACATGTATGTCAGTGCTACGGTTACAACTTTAATGATTAGTTAGCATCATATAGCATCAAAAATGGGCAATGCAGTTCAAATTTTGAACTGTGCATTTCATACTCAATTTTATTCTGCTTTAATTGTTCCAGCAATTGAGGCTGTGCCCTTGTGGTGGCTTCATCATGCTTAAAGTGACTGTTACCACTGTTCCACACTTTGATTTGCACTACGAAGCAGTGCAGCCAGCGTGGAAACTGGGTTGTGTTCAGATGAAACTAAGCAAGAGATGCTCTCCAGCAGTGCCCCCACTGTGCTCCAGATGCTAATCAGAGTTCGGACCATGGGACCAGACAAGAGCTGGTCAGAAGCAACTCTCCACCTACAGTGTGGATACTGGGTCCTAAGCACCAACTACCTGGTATATTTGTTCCTGTAGTGCTGCAATGCTTGCTGATATAGACACAGCTTTTGAACATCAGCCATTCCATCTTCCCTTATCCAGTTCTTTGTTCACTTTATACTATTCCCTAACTAATGACTAATTTTTCCCTGTATGGTTCTATATCAAATGCTTAATGAAGTCTTAAGTAGATTATAACCACTGCATTTCCTTTGTCCATAAAATCAGCCGTTATCCAGGCTACTCAGGGATCATCTATTTTTAAGTCCATTTTGCATTTTATCCCATTTTGCATTTATTACCTCCATGTTTTCAGTGAGCCTTTCCTTGAAAACATTGCTGAAGTCTTGCAAACTACTGAGTCTAGACTATTAACCCTCTGGTTGTCAGCATAATTTTTTCACTGCCTCCTTTAAAAGTATTACCTTTTTATTTCTCAGATAATACAATACCACTCTCAACTTGAAAGGTGATTAGAAGCATTTCTTCCTGCCCTGCAATTGCATAGAGCCATTCTTTCAGAATTCAGGAATGAAGTTTGTACCACCAGGGTCATAATCATGTCTATGTGAGATAAAATACAGTTTGAAGACATTTACTGAGTAAGTTCGCAAAAGGTTTGCCTTACCATTCTGAAACAGTGTTAAGTTTCTATCTGTAGCTTCTAAAGACTACTGGAAAAAGTAACAAATCCATCAACCCTGTTTCCTGAGGATCTGGTCCACTGATTTTAAGTGTATACGTTCTGCAGAAAAATTAAGAATATACTTTCAGTGATCTCTACTTGCTATACTGGGTACTGAAATAAATATGGGGCTGGACAAAGAAGCATCTTCAACTTTGCCAGAAAAACTGAAGTTGGAAAAAACCACCAGCAGACTCGTGTGATGGGTGCTGAACTTGGCCAAAAGAACAGCTAGTGTCTGGGACAAACACTGGAGGGCTGGGAATTTTGAAAAGCTAGGAGGAACTGTCAGGCTACTGTCCCCATTACTCAGTCAGTTATTCAATGCCAATATTACAGTTTTATATTTGCACTAGTTTCAATGGTGACGTATTTGTATGTATAGGTAGTCCTTCCTAGAGTTTGGGTAGTCATAAAGAATCAGTATGAGAAACAGGCAATACCGAACGCCTTCACCATCAATCTGGAGATCTTGCAGACAAGAAAGATAAAATGGAAGAAAAGAAGGTATGGTTATGTCACACCAACATCATCTCTGAAATTCTCATGCAGGTGTTATGGTTTAAACCTGGACGGCAGCCAGACACCCTCCCATGCTCGGGGGATGGGGAAGGGAAGCAGAGGGGTAAAGGTAAGGAGACTTGTAGGTTGAGATAAAAACAATGTAATAATTGAAATTAAATAAAAAAATTGAAATAATAGTAATAATGAAATGTAGAAATGAATGGTGCACGATGGAAGTGCTCACCACCCATCGACCAATGCCCAGCTGGTTCCCAGGTATAGCAATCCCAGAGGACAGAATATCCCAAAACCACAGTCCCAGAAGAGCCAGAGCTTCCCGACCATCCCTCATCTATATACTGAGCATGACGTCAGATGATATGGAATATTTCATTGGCCAATTTGGGTCTGTTGCTCTGGCTGTGCTCCCTCCCAGCTTTGCATTCACCTGCATGCTAGCAGGACGTGGGAAGTTGAAAAGTCCTTGATTTCTTAGCAACAACTAAATACATCAGTGTATTATCACTATTCTTCTCATATCAAATCCCGTACTGAATCCAAAACACAGTACTATTCTAGCTACAAAGAAGGAAAATTAGCTCTATTCCAGCTGAAACCAGGAGAGCAGGAAAGAAAAAAGAAAAAAGATGAATGCATATAAATGGCAAGAATATACTGAACATGAATATATATAGAATAAGTTATAATGCATTCTAATATACGTGAAAAAGTGATCAAGTGGGAGAAATAAAAGATGTTGGCTAGTTAAGGCATTACAAATTGGATAAGACATTTTGTCTATTAGAGATTGATTTGCACCAGACTACATAATTAAAATACCAGAGCTAGCACTGATGGAAGTCTGAGCCCTACACAAAATGTATTGATGATTTCCATCCCGGGGAAACATGCCAGCAGCACAAAAAAGTCTCATTCTATTAATTTACACCCTGGATGGCAGTGCCTAGGACTGAACACTACTTTTATAGCTGATATCACACCACTCGTCCAAACTGCTCAGCAGAGAGCAAAGACAATGAGTGCCTTCAAGACTTCCCAGTGTAAACAGATTTCAACCAAAAAAGCTTGTTCTAACAGAATTTCCACATTGGCCCTAGTGATGGTTCCTGTAGCTGTGGCATGTTATCCTGGCAACGTTCAGGGACTTGCATGGGCTCTGTGCAGCTTCTGTTTTCTGGACAGAGATCTCTATCTAGGACTGACAGTACAGCCACACATATTTAAAATAAACACACATTGTGGGCTGCTGCTGGGAAATTGTTTGTTAGACATAGTGAATGCAGAGCGCCAGGTTCTTTGCCAGCTGAATGGATGTAGCTTGAGTTATTCCAGCTAAACGGCTGCTTTAGGGAGGGGATAAAGGCGAGCATGTGAGGCATAACATACAAAGCTGTCTTGAAGCAAAGATTCACTTCCACAACAAAACGACAAGACCAGGGCTGGATGTAGCTGCAACGTGAAGAGAAGAAGGTTTTGCCCAGTCCTTCCCATGCCATCTGAGGGAGATGTCCTATACTGTGTGGGGCTGGTGAAAGGACAGAGCTATCTGTAACCTCTAGCAGGCAAATCCACATTGAATAATGGAATAGCACCATTTGGACACAGATTTAAGGAGTTTGGACAACCACCTAGCATTAAATGAGAAATGTTGTTGCCTGCAGAGAAAGAAACCAGAACACCATGGCAGCACATTAGCTCAAGGATGACAGTTATCACTGTCAGAGCTCAATTTCCTTTTTTTCTTCATAGATTAAAATAATCTGGAAAGAGGAAAAATAAAAGGAAACTGTGCATCAGAAATGAAACCACACAACTGGAAAGGCCAGGAACAGCAACCATTAAAAAAAACCCCAACAAACTGGAAAAAGCAGCTCCTTTGTAAACCCTGCACATCGTTGTAAGCAGAACAATAACATCTTTGCAACAGCAAAAAGGATTTATAGTCTTGAGAGTGCCCTCTAATATAAGTGGGACCTTTGAGTGTTTTGATCTACTGAGGCAGTATAGTAACATGCAATGAAATTCAGCTACACCATGCTAAATTAAGAGTGAATACTGGCTGACATGCCAAGATGGCAGAACCTTGGTTTAACAGCAGTATACTTCAAGAGCCAGCCCTTAATCCTGCACATCACTGGCTTATCAAACGTTTTTTGATGCGCAAATCAACTCATCAAGATGAGGGCATGAACTCTGTTGCTAACAAGTCACAGTAAAAAGACAGGCACTTGTGAATAGGTAATGTCTGAACCATGTGTAGCTCTTTGGTCTGAGTTTTAAACGTGTTGTTTGTTCAGGCTGGCTGTGGCTACAGTACTATATGAAAAGGAAAGAGGACAGAAGAAAGGAAATGACCCTGAGCTATTCTAGCACAAACAGGTTTATTCAAGGAGGGTTTTTTTATATCTTCTATATCTTCCATATTGCAGAGCACAGAAGGTGCTGAGTGCACGGGGCACGGTGCTTTACTTCAGTCCCACACCGAGGATGTGTGAGCATCCTGATAGTCCAGCTGATTTAGCACAGGCTGCATGCTGGCGCACAGCCCACTACATCAGCCACCATAATATATATTCCACTTAAAAGAATTTCCAGAATATTGCTTTCACCATTTTAGCATGAAAACATTAGAAAAAAACCAGTGAGTTGTTGGCTAAAATCCACTCTTTTTATATCGATACAAACTGAGAGGAATCATTAAGGAAACTCCTTATTTAAAGTGGTATAAGAGACAGAGTCCTACCTCTAGGTATTGTGTTTCATTTTATTTCTAATGGCCTAATAAAGAATAGAATAAATGGGAATTTTTTACTACAAGCACATGGAGGGAAGGGCTTTGGTATAACTGAAGCTGGAGAGAAAGACAAAGTATTTTTAAGGCCCTTCCAATGCTTATGGGAACCTATTAGGCATTTGTAACAGTTTAAAAGCTAATATAATCACCTCCTGGATTGCTGTTTATCTGCCATCTGTTCCTAAAATGGAACACTTTAACTTGTTACAGTAAATGGATAAAGGTTGCTTGCAAAACAAGGCATAGAGGGGAAGATGACTGGTGAATATTTAGATTCACAAAGCCAAATCAGCCACCGTGGATATTTTGTCTGACACTTCCTAAAACAGAAGGCAGAATTTTCCCCTGTTTGTTCTTTTCCATGCTTATAAGTTCTCTTCCTTTTAAGAAAGCACCCAGTCTTGATTTGCAATGCCCGTGATTTATGCTGTCTGTGATTTTTATTCCAGTATACCTGTTTATTTCCAATTATATTCTGGAATCATTGGAAGCATTGGCTAACAGGCAAACTTTTATTGTTGTCTTACAGATGAATCCGAAACAAATTTCTTAAAACCTGTAATTGCTTACTGGAGTACTTAAAATCTAAATCTAAACATTTTGTAGGCAAAGTCTGTTGTAGTTCATGTCTGAATGTGATATATTTAATTAAACTGGTCTCAGTGCAAAATAAACGCGATGCCAGTTCTTGCAAGGGGATTGGTGTAGTCCTGAGGACTGTATATCAGTAAACCTGAGGAAGCTTCTGGCAATTTAATCTATTTAAAAGTACTCTGAGGAAGGGAGATGAGCAATGAGGTATCAGTGTTTCCTGCATTAGTGTTAAAAGTCAAATCCAAAAGCCAACTGGGAAGAGCTACAGCTGTGTATTTCAAAGGCTGTCACGATACCAAACGGGCAATAAATTGGCAGTCTTGTAAGTACACAGTTACATGTCAGGGAAAAATAACCTCGGTGATGTACATAGAGTGATGGGTTCTGAATGAAGTGATCAGCACTCAGGGGAGTGATGCTGTGAACCATTATGAATAGTGCCCTGAAAGCATCGGTTTGGTTCTTCAGCAGGCATCAAAACGACAAATCAGATGTTAGGAATTATTAGGGAAAGGACCAAGAAGGAAACACCTTTGGATTTGTGCTGTCCGGCTGCACAGCATGCCCACAGCTGCTGCGCTGGCCACCCAGCTTCAGGAAGGACGTTAGAGACTGTGAGAGGTACAGAAAAGGGGACCTGAGGCTAGCTGTACCCTGCAGCTTAGCTTTGCTGGGGGCACTTGGCTGCCTAGTTCCCCACTGCCCAGAGCTCTTGGGGCACCCAGGGCTCCCTCCCCACGCACCCCAGTCGCTCTCCAGAGCAACAGTGCATGTTCAGGGCTCCCCGTGCCGCGCACTGGGATGTGGCACAGGTGATGTCGATCAGGACATGCTGCAAAGGAACGTGACAAAATATTTTGGCTTGAATAAAAGATGTAGGAGGGTGATAGAGCAGATGTCTTTATAGTCATGGATGTTATGCAGAGTCAATAGGGAATGGTTATTCATTATTTTTTACAAAACCAGACATAGGAGACACCCAAGGAAATTTAGAGCCAGCAAACTGAAAACAAACCTGATTAAGCATTTTTTAAAAAATAATATATTGCTAAGTTATAGACCTTGCTAGTTAAAATAGGTATTTAAACATTACCAGTTTTGAGAAGGGGACAGGATAAATTCCTGAAGAGTGGGCCTCCTGACAATTATTACACATTAAGATCCTGATGGAATTTTGTCTCAGAAAATTTCTGAACTCTAAACTGCTAGAAGCAATGAAGGCAAACTATGGCTACAGTCCTCCTGCATCTGCCCTGACTTTCTTGAAGCACTGGTAGAAACAGAATATTAGGAAAGACAGTGAACACAGTCCATTTTGCTCTTTAAATTTGCTTACTGAAAGTGGAAACTATTGAAAAAAAATGAAATGCAATCTTTCTTTGTTCTGTAAGTGACAAAGCTATCAGCCCAGCAATTTCTCTGTAATATTCACACAGGCACAGGAGAATCAAAGTAGCAAGACAATTTTTATTCTCTGCTTTCTTTCATAAACATGTTTTCAAGGATAAACCAAAATCATCATACTTCACAATTACCATTAGTGGTTTGGGATTTGTTTGGGTTACTTTTTCACATTCAGAAGCTACGTAACATAACACACAATCTCATTAACTAACCTGGGAAACTGTCAGTATTAATTTTCATGAACGCTCAATGACAGCAAGCTTCGCCAGATCAGATCTCAGCCTTTCTTCTACTTCCAAATCACCAGTGGATATTCCTCAAGGCTTACTGCTATAAAGTTATGAAATACTCAGAATCATTCTGTTGGGTAGCAAGTCAACAGACTGGCAGATGAACCAGTTCCCTCCCTGTCCATACGCTGATACAGACCAGACAATTATTTTGCCTTCGTAGTTTAGGAATAGGAAATAGCTGATCAGCAACAGATGTTGTTAAGGTTGAGGCTTGCAAAGCAATTAAAAGATGTCATCACCTGAGGCTGATTCGGATATCTGCAACAGAAGATTTCTGCATCTGCCATGCAGTGGGGTGGCAATGGCTCATGTCACATGTAATCAGCCCTCAAGGAAAGTGCCCTTAAATTTAACCTTTAGTGACAGCACCAGCAGCACTGATGCAGCATGTGCCACTCACTTTCAAATCTACTTCATATTTTGAGATCAGCATTTCAGAACACTCCTTCTTTACAAGCAGAACAGCGTTTTTAGCTTTTTTCTTTGTATTTCATCCAGTTCTTGGGCAGCCAAGCTCCATCCACACTTATCTCGTGGCATATTAATGAAACGTGTGGTCTGCTGCCCTCTATCCTGACAGGGCTCTGTCTGGCTGAGGTCACATTCTGATTCACCCATATTCCCCAGAGAGCTTCAGGGACATCAGTGTGTATCTAATGAATATTAACCAAAAAAAAAAAAATCCTTAAAGAGAAAGAAAAGACTGTGAGTTTTCAATGGGCAGTGGAAAATTGTCTGCTGAACATCTTTAAGTGTGCTTTTGCAAGTGCGTGCAGAAAAAGCAGAAGCAGAAATTCTCATAGCAAAGGAAGTGTGGCAGGAGTCAGACTTTGGAGCTCAGAGGGGATTTTTGTGAATTACTGTGCATTATAACAATAGCTTCCACTCCAGAGACCACAAGGCTGGGCTGATCAGCTCTACATAAAAAAAAAAAAAATCACATTAACCTGTATGAAATCAGTTTGGTTCTACCTGCAAACTAGTAGCAGTTCAGCAGCTCATGGAAGCATGGTTTTAGTGTTCTTTGATGGAAAAATCACTTCTATGCTCGCTTGTAATTTTGTCCAGAATCTGAATTCGGAAACCGCTCTGGAAGAAACACAACTGTAGTGACTGATTATGTTCCCCAAATGACACAAAACATTGCACCAGCACCACCATCACCAGTTAGAGAGATCTTGTTTGCCCAGCGGAAAACAATGTATTTTCAACATATACATAGTAACTGGGCTGAGTGCTACTTGGAATTGAACTTGAGGGGTTTAATCCATGAAACTGTACCTAGACTGCCCTGGACAGCTTACCTAGAAATAGCAAACCGGTTGTAGTAATTCCCTGCCACACACCGCCAGCGGAAAGTCTTGGGGGAGCTCCATGATTTGGCTGAAACTCAGCGTCAGTCCCCCAAACCTCACCAGGAGCGGGGAATCGGCTCTCGTCAGCAGGTGCTGAGGGGCCCCCCAGGCCAGTGGAGCTTTTTAAAAAACCTGAATTCTTGCACTTGTGCACGTTTTCCGTCGGTTCTACCGCATTTAGACAGCGAAAACTTTGGCAGGTGGTTTTAAGTTTTGAGAAGCACTTAGGTGAGCCCGAACACGACCCCCGCGGGACTTGTGGAAAGGCGAGTCCAAAAACACTAACGGGGAAAGAGGGTTCACCGTCAAGGCCGGGTTTCAAACCCTTCTTTTGTTTTGTCCCGCCGGGTTTCTTACACCGGGGAGCGGCGCAGCGAGGAGAGGGCTGCCAGCCGTCGAGACGCGTGAGGGAGCGGCAGAGAGAGAAATTTTCCTACAGACGAAGCCGATCGGGTACCCGCGGCCGGGCCTGAGGCGCCGCCGCCGCCCGCCCCGGCCCCGCTCCAGCTGAAAACCCGCGTGGGGCTGCGTGAGCTCAGCCGCGGCGTGCGGGGCGAGGAGTACCGGCGGGAGGTCTGCGGTGAGGCGGCAGCAGGGCTGAGGGCGGGGAGGGGGGAGCCCAAATAGAGAATTTTCTGATTTCTGGTTAAATTTTTTTAAAACTATTACAAACATTTTAAGACTACTGACAGCTTAAATGGTTTTAATTGTTCTTTCCACAGTAACTTTGATAGAAAGAACAGTGGTACACCAGGCTTGGAGTAGAAAAGGGGTTTTTTCAATAGTTAAGTGTCAAAGACTAATTTTCCTGTACTCTCCTTGCAAGATCTTTCTTGGAAAGCAGCTTGGTTTTTGTAAGTTGATCAGTTACACTGTAAACTTCATGTTGTCCTGAATACCCACTCAAAAATACCTCATGAAGTAGTCTGAAAAATGGTCAGCACTCAAGTGTACATCTCCATAAACTAGCTCATTCCTCATTTTCCTTTCACTGCAGAGAACAGTTTGTTTAGTATTATTTGTGCTGTAGGAGTGAGACTATTATTAAGTACTACTGGAAAAGCTCCTCAAAGTGATTTTCTTCTCACTTTTTTTGCTATGTTTTTAAAAATAAAAACACCAGACTTTTCATCATGCAAACCAATCATGTATAAGAAAACTAGTGTACTTTACTTTGGAAAATAATGACTTAAGGGGCTGATTTCAGACTGTAGGAAAAAAGGAACAAACTTGAGAGAAAACGTATGTTCTCATGGCACTTATAGCTAATGCTGTTTTCCAGATTATTTGCCCTGAATTCCCAAAGCAAAGTCTGCCACTCGTGCTTTGCGGTCTTCTCAACTGTGATTAGTATGCTTTATTTTATCTCTTCCCTTCCACTGTAGACATTTCTATTTGAAGAAATTGAAAGGCCCTTTTGCAATGCAAGTTGAGAGACTTACTTCTGTCTTGTTAGGGACATCTGCATTTGACATGCTGTTGAAAGCATATGGAATACCACAGCTAACTGAACTAGCAAAGTAACTAGTAACTGCTCTAGCAAAGGGTGGGCCATTGCTGAATAGCAGTACTTCGTCATAGCTGCACTTTGCGTGGCTTTGGATATATCCATCACAATGAGGTGCAAGGTAATATTCTTTCTAG